GACAATCCGCTTCTATGTGAACCACTGGGTCTTGGATTTATTGTTAAGAAGTTTGGGGCCTCAGGTCTGTGAGACGGCAGGATGTGATTTCAGTTTGTGGGGTTAGCTGATTCTCTGTGACAGGATGTCAAGAGTCTGCACATCAAAGGCACCTAAAGGCACCTGAAGGCAAACAGCCTGCCACCATTCACTGCTGCTGAGGGAAGCACTTCTCATTTTAGAAAGTGAAAGTGAAGTAAACCACAGTCAGGTATCGCCTCCTCTCCAGGGCCGCTGCTGCTCCCTCACAGATAACTCTTCACTGCTTCAATATTTGGCATTACAGTAAAGTTTGGTGACTTTTGTAGTGTCAAAGATTTATTTTGTAGTTCATGGTCATCCTGCCATTATTTGCTGTAGTTTTGTTGTAGTTCCTCTGTAATATCTACAGGATTGCTGTACTCCTTCTCACTTCTTCAGCAGGGTCTCTCTCTTCATCTCTCTCTATGTCCTTTACATGAATTATTGATGTTAAGGGACTGAGCTACTGTGCTGGAGGTTTTTTCTGCTCCATTACTGCTCTCCCACTGGGCCAGGAGCTTTACCTGCGAATTGACCCACACTTCACTCTGCCCATCCAGTATAACTGTAGTTATTTCTCTAACCCAGCTGCCAGTGTCGGGCCCTTACAGTAGAACTCCTGTGTGCTGTATCCGTCAACATGGGTCTAAGTAACACTGGTCTTACAATCAGTGCAGTTCACAAAGTGGTATGATTTGCTTTAGACAAACCACAGGAATATGACCAGGAGAGAACCAGCCTTTATAGAACCAGAACTGGAGCAGCAGGTTGACTGAGGCTGATGACATTTGACAACCTCCATTTTCTGGCGATGCGTTTTCCAATATAGTTTGTTGTCCCCTCAGGTGTTTGTGCTGCTGTGATACGCCATTGAAACTTCACACAGTGTACAAACCATCTATTTGTTTTGTACCGACTGTAGACTATAGTCTTCCTGTACTTTTGAACCTGTGGATCTTTGGAAACTTTTGCACTTAACTCTGCTGCAGCCCCCTTTTCTAAAACTGTAGCGCTGAGTACACCTGACCAATGACTGGAGCCAAAAACACTATGACACAGCAAATACATGGGGATATGGAATTGATATATTATTGATGCCAACATCAATCAGCTATGCAGACAAATTGTGGAAGCCAAGACGAACTACCTCCTGGGATCCCTACTTTATCTACAATCCCAGCGTTGCCAGGAAACAGAGGAAACCATCAATATCGTGTTACATATTGGTACAAAAGGAGTTAGACTTATCTCATTGTCCGTCCATCCTTCTATTTTCTGCCACCCTTGTGAGTCCAGCCTGTGGCAACACATGGTGTAAGGTGGCCCAGATGACCCTTTCCCCACCCGCTCCTTGTTCCCATGCCAGACGTGATATGTAATCCCTCTAACATCTGGCTCTGTCCACGCCATGCCTCGGGAAGAGTCCAGGAAGCATTCTTATCAGATGCTTGACCCACCCTGTCTCAATCATCCCTTTAGGCCGGGGCTGGATCGAGACAAAGTGTTCATCCAGCATGTTGTCCGAACACGTCGGATGGCAAACATGCGGTGGCAACACATGTTCATTTCTATTTGTGGGAATAAATGGCCAAACTTTTGGAAAATCTTTCTTCAAAGTTAGTGATATGGGAAAACTATCTTTATAAAAAAGACCTTCACAGAGATGATCAAACCCTGCCAAGGTTGTTTCAGATTTAACAAAAAGAAAGGGCAACTCATTTTGGCCACTAGTATCCACCACCACTATCTCCAGCTCCCCGGTCACCAGTCCAGTACCTGGTCCACGGCTGCTGGCAGTACAGCAGTCCACCTTTAGTGTCAAACACTCTATTTTACATCTCACTCCTCTCTCCTGGAGTACCATCGCTGAAGTCTTGAAAGCCCTGACTTCCATTCTGGCCGTTCTTTAATGCGTCTTATCTCTCAAAGCGTTTTCCACATTCATTTTAGATTGATGGATCCTCTAGCTGGGCTTCACGTTGACACTTTAATCCAATCTCACTTTATCTCCTGTTGGTTTCCTGCAGCAGCTACTGTGATAGTACCTTGTGCTCAGGTGCACTGATAATCAATACGGCACACACACAATAAATCCTTCCACCGTCTGAGTGAGCTCTGCTGACTCAACAGGCTGCCTTGTCTAAGCCTCGACCTTTCAGAGCTTTGTACTTCAGGAGCAAAAGGTCAAGCTGATCTGAAGAAGCGCTGATACTATCTCTATAAAGGTCATACTTAGAGGCTGAGGTGACCGGTAAGTACAACCCAGAAGCAGAATGACCCTGCATAAAAGTGCTTGAGCTGCCTCTGTCTTTGTGTGTGTATATGTGTCTATATATATATGTATATATAGACCCACATATATATATATTAGTAGCTAGTCAAGCTATTGCTCTGTAAAGACATTGAGCCAGACATCAACGCCAAAAAAGTCAGTCAACAGCGTTTAGCATTTACCCAGAAGGCTCTGACCCGAGGCAGTGTATCTTTGCCGTATCTGTTTGTGTGTGTTGCTGCCAAAAAGAAGGGGATGGGGGTGAAGTGTTGTTGCTTGGCTTTGTATGTCTGCAGGGGTTGGGTGGTGGGTGGGGGCTCCCACGGCGCTCCTCAGAACTGGGTCAGAGGGATTAATTTCCTGGCCTGGCCAATTGGAGCTAATGGCAGATTAGCATGGGAAGTTCACTTCCAAAACTGCTTGTCCACACACAACCCCTCGGCCAGGACTGGGAGACAAGCTGCTTTTCACACTCCGAGGCCTCAAAGAATGTGTGTGGAGTGATGCTCCTGTATTGTGGTGTACTTGTACGTTTTATGTGACTCCCTGCTGAGACCACAGTATTTAGCATTAGACGTGACCACAGGAACATAGATGTTCTTGAAAGAAATAGAAGTAAATTCTTCAGAGGCCCGATGCAGCTGGGATGTTTGGCCAACCAGTTACTTCTGCTTGGCATCAGTTTCATATATTGTTCTGAGAGCTAAATCCATAATAAATTGGGGGGATCATGGCTGTGCTAATGCTGTACACTTGTAGTTACAGTGCTGAAATTACTTGGGTTATCTAATTTACTTTCTGTCTTCTTTTAGAGAAAGGTGTCATAGACAACAGTCGTAAAGGTGCTATATGAAAAAACTGAAATACAGCATTAATGCAACCGCGAACAGCTATCTCATATGTACAGATACTGTGGAGTAATGGCGTCCTGCAGAGGTACTGAATCCACACTCTCTCTGTGTGTGTTGTGATCTGATCTCTATGATTTTCCTAATAATACACCCCAGTACAGTATTGTAAATTGATTGGGGTACCTGGTTGTTCCACCGGGTAGAACCTCATACGGTTTATTACTGCAGGGACCTGAGGAGGCAGCAGTTCCATGTTGGTATGCAGAGAGCATTGTGGGAGTTTAACTCGTAAAGTGGTACTGGGATAAAGTTTTCTGTGACACTTAAAACCTCCAGCCAGTACACGTGTCATTAATTTGTGTGCACTTGTTTCATTTTCGCTCAGTGTAAGTCTGCTGCTGTTTCGAGGTTCTGCTCGTGTCTGTTCCACTCCAGTCTTTTTGTGTCTGTTTCCACACATGCATCCGACAAACCACAAAAGAGCAGAGCAAATATGAACGGAGAGACATGGAAATGGTGTTAATTAAATTTAAAACTATTTTCTATGGATGTTCAGTGTGTTTTACGGTGGTTGTGTGGACTAATGGATGTGCTGGACTATTCTTCAGTGTCTCTCATGTATGCAACCTTTCTGGTTATAAATGAAACTGAAAGGGAGTGGGAGGTGTGGCTGACTGGCCTGTTGTTTTTAACTGCTGTTTTGGCGACATTTATCATTTAGAGAACCTGAAATGGTATTATTTACCAAAATACGGTCAGTTAGTGGCATGAGAGTCAGAATAAGCTGTCTGTAATAGAGCATGAACAAACACATACTTAGAGATGTCATGTTACACTCTTTGCCTTTTAACATAATTCAGAAACAGTTTATTGACTCATTGTTGAAGGACTTTATCCACCAAATTACAAAACATTTGCAGTCATTTATCCGTCTGGAGACTGAACAATGCATCAATAAATCCAAAGAGTTTAAAGTAGTCAGCATTCTAGTTTGCATGTCATCTATTTGCCTGCTCCCGTTTTTCTTCTTCCAGCCATAACAGAAAAAATCTGTTTACGCCTGTCTCTCCTCACATTACTGTCCAACCTCTCCTCTCAGTTGTGTTTGGGTGTTGCTGGCACCAGTGGGCCTTTTGATGTGCTCGAAGTGATTTTAATTAGGTTTCATACAATGTCTACAGGCTTTTTCTCTCTTCTGTCTCCATCTCCTCTGCACCGCCTCTACCCGTCTTTTTATCAACCCTCCATCAGGCCTCCGGTAATGCCAGGGAAGCCTGTCTAAACCTCTCAGAGCTGTGCAGTCTTACCGTACACAACAGATATGACTGCAACATCTTGAGCGCCTGCCAATATTAAAACCCCACTAAATTGCATTCAAGGACTCAGACTTTGACAGGACTTTAGAGGAGCATCTTCCCCGTTAGTCATGGCTTGTGGACAGTTCCATGTGCAGAACATACATGCTGCCTCTTTTTGCGAAAGGTCGTCATTGTCATACAGTTCCTATGACTCAGAGGAGAAAGCCCAGAATGTTAAGGAAATCTTTAGTCAGCTATTATGGGAGTTGCCACATTCTGCAACACTGCATTGTTCCTCGAGAGGAGGGGATGTTTTCATGCTCAAGAGGATATTATGTCTGTAAATGTTACTGAGGCTGACCACATTACTTTTCTCTCTTTCTCTTTGTTTTTTCTTCTAACTTCATCTTAACATTGTCAGTAAAAGAAGAAAGCAGTAGAGTCCAAACAAGATTTTTCAGAAATAAAAACAATAAAGCTCACATGGCTCATTCCCAATTGTCTCTTCTCTCTTTAAAGGTATTGGCAAGAATGTCATCTGTGACAGGACCGCAACGCCTCTGGATGCCTTCAGAATGATGTCAGCTGCCCAGTACTACCCCAAGCTGCTGAGCATTATGGGAAACGTGCTGCGTTTCTTGCCCGCCTTTGTTCGAATGAAGGAGTTGTTAGAAGAAGGGTACATCGGAGAGCTTCTGGTCTGCGAGGCTCAGGTATGACACACGAATGCTTGTTGTTTAATAAGGAGATTTCTCAGTTGCTTTCCTTTCATTGATTATAATGACAACAGTTTAATGCTTCACAATTACGTTCTCTCAAAGTTTGATTGAGTTACAACAGCATCCACAGAAGTGGCATGGAGTCAGGGTGGCTAGCAGCATGGGTACTTTCTGAGGCAAGATTTGTCCCCAGAAAACACCCCAGCTGATTCATTTTTTGCGCTACGGTGTTCTGATCACAATCAAGTGAGACCTAATAGAGTCACATTTTCTCCTCTGTGTCCTAAAGGTCCACAGCGGTAGTCTCCTGGGTAAGAAATACAACTGGAGCTGTGACGATCTGATGGGAGGCGGTGGCCTGCATTCAGTGGGCAGTTACATCATTGACCTGCTTACATTTCTGACTGGACAGCGTGCAGCCAAAGTCCATGGCTTCCTGAAAACCTTTGTCAAACAGACGGACCACATCAGGGGCATCCGTCAGATCACGAGTGACGACTTCTGCACGTTTCAGATGGTACTGGAGGGAGGCGCCTGCTGCACCGTCACGCTCAACTTCAACGTCCCTGGAGAGTTTCGGCAAGAGGTGATAGTGGTGGGGACTGTGGGGAGGTTGACGGTCACGGGGACCGACCTGTATGGACAGAAGAACAGTGGTGGTGGAGGAAGTGGTGGTGGTCCCGAACTTCTGCTCAAAGACACCACGCCTCTTGAGAAGGCCTCCCTGCCAGAAAAGGCCTTCAGTGACATTCCATCCCCGTATCTCACCGGGACGATCCGCATGATCCAGGCGGTGCGGCAGGCCTTTCAGGACCAGGACGACCGGCGGACGTGGGACGGGAGGCCTCTGACGATGGCCGCCACTTTCGAGGATTGCCTTTATGCTCTTTGTGTGGTGGATACAATCAAGAAGTCCAACCAGTGTGGAGAGTGGCAAAACATTGTTGTGATGACGGAAGAACCGGAGATCAGCCCGGCCTATTTAATCAGCGAGGCCATGCGGCGGAGTAGGATGTCACTCTACTGTTAACATCCGGCTGATATGCTGAACGCCCGTGTCACCATGGAAACTAGTTGTGGCACCAGAATGGCCTCGGTATTGATAAAAAAAAACTTTTTTTTAATAGAGCTACTGAATTCAGTTAAATTTGTCCCCCGTTTGTTTTGATACTTATAAATCTGTATGGCTACTGTTACAGACAGTTTACACCACTATGATACAGAGCTGTGGTTTCCCAGCCTTAGCAGTAGAGGAAAAGCAATGTGATTATTAGTCAAACCTTTATTTATGATAAGGAAGCTTTCTCAGTTTTTTGTTCATTCTGACAGAGGACTTGAGCCCTTCCAGGTGATGCACTTGCAAATCAAACTGATTCATGCAACAGAAAAACCTAGAGTGGAGATATATCAGGGAGTGGAAGTACTTATGGTCGGCTGGTTGATCAGTAGCAGGCATCTCCGCAGGGATTTGCTTCTCAAGTTCCCATTTTACAAAACAGATGCCTGTGATTTTAGACGTTTTTCACCCCTACGCTGCTGCTTGATCAAACCGATACTGCGTGTTCTATCTCTGCTTCTCTTCTATGTGACTGGGTCTGGAACGAACACCTTACACTGTGGGTCCGAACAAGGACAGCCAAGGAAGAACGATAGTCTTCTCAAATTGTGCCGCTCTGTTGTTGCTGTACTTGCTAGTTTTACCAAGTGAATGTTTAAAAAAAACAAACAAAAAAGTCAGTGCGCTTGATAGTCAGTCTGTGTCTGCTCTGTATGCTTCTCTGTATGTGTGAAACAAGAGACAAAAAATCAATAGTTTGGCTGGTGGGTTCTTTAGAGGGCTTTACCTCCTGCTTTATGTATGCAATATACACAGGCTGCTTGTCTTTCAGCCTGACATGAAGGGTTAGAACACACTATGGTATGCCTTTATGCAGAGACAGTAGGCTGCGTCTCAGCTTGTTCGTCCTGTATGAGCGGCCAGTTTAGTGATACTTTGATACTATTTATTTTGTGCTTTTTCTATCATCACGAAGCATTGCCACGAGGTACACTGAATCCCGTGTGGCGTGCTAGTACATATCTGTACTGAGCCTTAAGTGTGGACAGTCCTGCATGTAGAGATGCAAGCAAATGTTCACCTACAGAGTGTTTCAACCTCATACTACGATGCAATGGGTCACCTCTGCTGCGAGCTAATGTGAGCCTGTTAAACATGTCAGACCTACAGATGGACTGAAAACTTGCAGCTAATCAACAGTGTAGCACAGCGGGGTGGACAGTAACCTGCAGATTTCTTTCACTTCTAGTCAAGGTGGTAAGGTTGGTGTTATTCTAAATTATTCTGTAACAACCAAAACCAACAGCATCAATCTGTCTCCCTGTGCTCTCTGGTTACCCTACACCAGCGGTCCCCAACCACCGGGCCGCGGACCGGTACTGGGCCGTGAGTCATTTGGTACCGGGCCGCACAGAAAGAAAAAAAACTAAACATTTTGTTGGTTTATTTTTATTTCCAGTGGAGTCTGCAGGTTGTTTTATTTCAAAAAACGACGAGCTCGTCTTCCCGTCTCGTTTCTCGCATTTGACTCTTATTAGTTTTCATGCTCTGCTGTTAAACGAAGCCGTCAGTCTAACCTGCCGAAATAATTAAAAAACAAACATCTCAGCTTCTTTGGAAAGTGGGAGAGACTCATTCCTAAGACGGAAAAAGAAAAAGTAAACACGTATTTAGCAAGTAATTTTATTCATTTATGAAACTTTTAAATAGAAAAAACAATTATTTTTTGTTACGTGAGTGATGACCGGTCCATAGGAAATGTTCTCGCTTAAAACCGGTCCGTGGTGCAAAACGGGTTGGGGACTGCTGCCCTACACTGAGCCCTTGATTATACTCCCTTGCAGACGTGCACATGGACGGCTGGAGACACCGTGGACACATAGTTGTGGCTATTAAACTACTTCCTTATCAGTCTACATATTCTGTGCATACACACTACTGCCGTTGTGTGGACTGCAGAAAATATGCACAAAGTAAAATACCATCCTTATACCTTTTTTAAAAAAACTGGATTCCTCTAATGAGACTAGAAAAAGGAACCACAACTGATTTAATGAGCAATTCTCAGTTTCGCTGTCCCGACCGTTTGTACTTGCATGGCTTCAGTTTTGAGACAAGTATATGCTACTGGCAGGATCAACCAACCAGCCCGAAAGCACCGACCGGCTTAGAACTGGTGCGGACCAGGGGAGTCCGACTGTTTAATTAAAACGCAGCATGTAGTGTGTATACATGGTACAGAGGAGGTTGTGTCTTCATATTCTGCACTGAGCCTCATGCTGCTGTCCTTGTAGTGTAGTTGACACATGGACACAAATCTATGAATGGGTCAGGTAAAGTGAAACAGTGAAACAGTGAAATGAGATTCAAATTATTAAAGCTGCACTGAACCACTTAAATAACAGTGGGTCTGATATGTGTTATGTAAAGGAGATACCTGACTCCACTGTCCTCTTTAGCATTTTAGCATCTATCAGCTCATGTTTTTCTGTTTTGGTTTTGCTTCACTCATCGCTCTTATGAACGCCGTCTTTCTGGCAGCAACGGCAGGCCGCTGTTTTGGTGAAAAAACTTTGATAAACCCGCTGTACGTTCCCTGCCCAGCACCAGACAGGCACAGTAGCCGATGAATGCAGCTAAAGAGACAATTGGTGGATCCCAAAACAGAGCAAAAAATAAAATGAAAGTGTTGGAACTACATTTTCTTTGTGGCCAAAAAATGTGGTTCCAAGGAAATGTCAGTGTGAATGTGTAAATTGGCAACTTCTCGCTAATACATGAGCTTTAAAAACCAGTTGAAAATTTAAAGCTTGTGTTTCGAGAAGTGTATTTTTTGGACTGTGTGCAGCTATTAACAGACACACATGAAACAATTTCCCACAAAAATTTCCCTGAGGTACCCTACCAAAGGAATCAATAAAGTTATATCCAATAAAGTTCTATCTAATAAGAAAAAGATGGAATAACACCACCCTTATCCTTCAAGGTGTAATTCACAAGCATCAGCTGCTCTTCTGAACCGCAGACCGACATGACTTCATTAGAGCTGTATGTCAGTAAAAAACAAACAAAACAAACAGTGAGGAAGAACAACAGGAATGATCTGATTTGAGCGTATTAGTTTTGTGAGTCCTGTTAAGGACACAAAATCACATCAGCGTCAACAAACTGAAGTAGTCATTGTGTATTACTTCCTGTCCAGCTCCTGAGAAAGCTAAAGCAAACCATCATAACTCCAAGCACAGTTAAACTTAAGGTTTAGGATCAGTCAGCACGTGAAGAAGCAACACTGACCTACAAGCCAAAAGATTGATTTTTTTTTTTTATGCACCTCTGTTCCCCTGTGCGGTTTCAAGTTCTTAAGCTGTGCTGAAATACTATCTATGTAACAACTACTGAAAATGTACATATGAAAATATTATAAAACAACAATATGCGTTTGTCTAAAGAAATAAACAAGTACTGTATGTATTTTATTTGTAAAAACCAAGGAACTGGAACACGTTTCGATGAGTGTTAAGGTATTTATTCTCTGTTTTTGACGTTTTGTGGACTGACCTGCGGTGTGTTTGGCAGATGGACAGCAGGCCGAGGCCTTCCAAGCATTCAGCGTCTTAGTTCCCCGTTTATCAGATATTGACCAAATAGTCTTGTTTTAAACCCGAAAAGCTTTATGTTTGCTCTTAAGATGCATCATAGATCACAGTCAGGATCCAACGTGACTCAACTGTCAACTGCAGCGCAAACTCGGATGTAAAAAAAAATCAACAGTTCACAGACGTCGTGTCTGTCTGCGCTCTTTTATCATTCAGTGTTTTCATTTGTCGTGTCGCACCAGGCTTTGCTGAGGTCAGAACACATTACAGCCCCTGCTGTGATCACAGCTTTTTTAACACTTATTTGGTTGTAAATTTTAAGGAAGAAAAACACCCTTGCTCAATAGTCAGCCTGAAAAAAACCCTCCAACACTGAGTCCAACACTGATAAGCTATCTCCCTACAAGATAACTCAAGTTAAATTATTGACTCTTGCGTACTAAACGCCTTATCAAATCTGCATATAGACTTTCCCCCTTCGTCCGATAAGAGATCTCAAAACGTACACCTGTAAAAGATGTAGAAGCGATGTGGACTTTTCTCTTCAGGGTTGAATTTGTCTTCTGTGTTTGGTTGTGTGTTTAGGCCTGGATTTTGTAAAACAAACTTGGACTTTGTTCTGTCATGGAGGCGCTGGATGCACGTGGTGGATGTGAAAAAGGAAAGAAATAGAGGAGTCGTTTTCTCTCCCTCATCAGGCTGTAAACTCACTTTATTACCGTGTGATTTATAGCTGCGCTGGTGTAGCCTTGGCTGTTTATTTATCCCAGTTGAGTCCAATTTGGAGGTGAATGATTTCCCTTTCTCGACGGTTAACTGCACAGATGTTCACAGGGAATCTAAGGTGAGAGACCAGGGATGACATCTGCAGCACGTTGAGGGCAGCTGCAGTCAAACAGGGATGTAGGTTCGCTTCTGGGGTTTTTTTCAGTCAAGTAACTCACAAGTTTTGCTCTAACTTTTAAACAGATGCCAGTTATTGGTAACACTTTATTTGCGGATCTGTTAAGTCCTCCAGCATCTGATCAGAGTGTTATTTTATGTTCATGTATCTGTGCTGTGGTTGTGATTCATTTACATACATTTACTTGAAAGAACTGCCCTCATGAATATATTTTGAAGGACAGATCTAATAAGGACCTCCACAGAACAATGAAACAAATAGAAAAAGTGGGAGCAAAATCATTTAACAACAACATCTGTCTTGCATTTTTCCACATTCAGTCCACCGTAGAATTTGGAATTAACTCGTGTTCCCACCAATCACTTTCCCTGTAATTAGTACCACGATCCTTTCCAGGAAACCTCCCAGACAACTGAAAATCATTAGGAATTTACGGATCTGTAAAATAAAGTGTTACCTTGTGACTTCATTTGGAGACTTCAGCTAAACAGAAATGCAGTGACATGAGTCCCTAATGCTGGACTAGAGCTGCTGTCACACTCCACGAGGAGTTATGTAAAATAATCTGCAGGGTAAAGTGAGAAGATCACAGCTATCACTGCTGAGTAAGCTGCAAACGTTCGCTCCCCCTCCAATGATATGAGTAGTTCAACTCTCTTGTCTTCTAATTCATAATCTGTTTTCAAACCAAGCAGCTTGACTCAGACTGTTTCGTTTCCCAGTGCTGCCCTGGACTTGCTGTCTGTGTGTAAAGATTCTCTCACAATAGAGCCAGTGTGTGTTCGACTTAAACTGGATCTCATGTTGAGATTAAATCAGCTATATTTAGTGTCCCAGGGGTGAGACGATGCAAAAGAACCTGCAGTGACTCAAGCAGACCAACACGTGTTCCCTCAAGTGTTAGAAATGTGGATTTGGTCTCAGTTGTGTTAAGTGGACGTTTATCCATCCTCCTCCATGGAGACCTGCTCTGGGCTATCATTAGAAACCAGAAGGCTTTTCATTTCAGCCTGTGCAGGTGCTCGTCAAAACACCGAATCAGAAAAGAAACGTACCTAATCCTGCCTTCTCTGTGAAGTCATTAGGGCGATGCTGATGCAGGGACTGTCGAGCTGCCTCCACTCTGCTGAACATTACGCTCCCAGTGATGTCTGTACGGAGCTGAAACACACGAGGCAATATCTGGGATCTGAAGCACTGAATATTTAATGAGAGGAATTTTAATGAGCCGATACAGTTCAGTATGAAGATTTCA